TGTGTGAGTGTGTGTGTGTGTGTGTGTGTGTGTGTGTGTGTGTGTGTACTGGTGGGTAAGAGTGAACACACAAGACTGCATAAGTCAGAAGACAACCTGGACTGCCATTCATTCCTTAGGTACTTCCCACCTTTTGTTTGTGATAGGGTCTCTGATCGGCCTCCAACATCACCAAGTATGCCAGATTAACTGGCCCTCAAGCTTCCAGGGATCTGCGTGTCTCCACCCTTCCCTTTCTGCTGCTCTTTTACATGGACCCTGGATATCTGGACTCAGGTCCTCACATTTGAAACGCTGTGAACTTGAGATGCAGACTGACTGTAAGAAGCTGGAAATCTGGTTCAGTGGCTAACAGCTGAGGCTCTTTGTTTCCATTCTCAGCAGCCTGGAATGGAGAGGATACTGCTCACAACTGCCTGTATCTCCAGCTCCAGGAGATCTGAAGCCCTCTTCTGGTCTCCTTGGGTACCCTCCCCCCTCCCCCCCCCACCACCCAGCCACCCACACACACACACACACACACACACACACACACACACACACAAGTTTTTTTTAAGCCCACACACCCCAAGCAACTACCTATATTCTCACCAGGGTAGATGGACAGCTCACATTTTTCAAGACCCCTGTAGGCCTGTTTCTTAGGTTGACAGTCTGGTGACACAAGCATAAGAACTGGACCCTCTGCAGCATCTGCTTGTGCTCATCCCCAATGCTCATCTCAGAGCCTGTCTATTCAATGCTTCCTTTTACCTTAGGAGGTATGGCCCACATGGGCTTGGTTAGCATTCTAAATGGCAACAATTTGTGTCTCCTATACATGCCCTGGGTTTCCATCCCCACAGAAGTCTGCTACACATCTGCTTCAAACCCCTCCTCAGGTATACAAACATAGTAGGCATGTCTGTGTCACATTCTGATGCCTACACAGGAATTTGGTGGCATGTTTTATGATGGGTGTCATGTAGCCCAGGCTGGCCTTGAGTTCAAAAAGTAACTGAGGATGGCTTCGAACTTTTGATCTTTCTGCCTCCACCTCTCAAGTACTGGAGTTACAGAAATGCACCACTATTGCTAGTTTCTGTGATGCTGGGGATCAAACCCAGGGCTTCCTGACTATGATGGAACACTCTACTGAGCTATTTCCACTGCCATGCCTCAACAGGCATTTTGGGAAAGAGTCTCATCATCTTATATGTAGCCCAAGCTGACCTGGAACTTACTAGACTGGGCTGGCCCCAAACTCAGAGATCCACCTGCCTTGGTCTCCTGAGTGCTGTGACTAAAGCTGTTTGGCAGCACGCCTGACTAGACAGGCTTTTTAACACCTGTCATCTATAATGTCACTTTTGAGCTTTCCTTCTCTGCTCCTGAACTGGAGTCCCACCATTTGTTATTATCCCAAAACACTGTGCTAGGCCCTGCTCTCAGAAGAGTCCAGAACTGGGAAGGAGTTGGCTTGGAGAAAACTCCCTGGCTCTCCCTAACATCACTAGATTGGGTGCAAATAGGATTTAACATGCCTTCAGCACTCAGGAAATATTTCAACAGCAGGCCCCTGGGGATGGCTGTCCAAGTTGATATATTTCCTACAAAAAAGAAAAAAAAAAGAGGTACTAAATACAGCAGTTGGTTAGTGGCCCACTTCAAATTGCTAATGACAAACTCTTCCTAGCATAGAATCCTTCCTGTCAATTCAATAAATATTATGAACTAGCCAGGTACATGCCTGTGGTCAGCACTCAAACAGTAGAGGCAGGAGAAATAGACATTCAAGGCTATCCTCAGCTACAGAGGGAGTGCGTGGCCAACCTAAGTTATGTGACACACTGCCACTGTAAACAAACAAATAAGGAAGGGGTGCCTGAGATGGCTCACTGGGCACAAGCACTTGTGCACAAGTGTGAGAACCTGAATTCAAATTCCTTTTTCTTTCTTTTTTTTTTTTTTGTTGTTGTTTTTTGTTTTTTCCAAGACAGGGTTTCTCGGTATTGCTTTGGAGCCTGTCCTGGAACTCACTCTGTAGACCAGGCTGGCCTCGAACTCACAGAGATTTGCCTGCCTCTGCCTCCTGAGTGCTGGAATTAAAGGCATGTTCTACCACCACCAAGCCTGAGTTCAAATTCCAACACTCACATACAAAGCTGAACATGGCCACACACGCATATAATCTAAGTTCTAGAGTGAGGAAGAGGGTAGAATTGGAGAATCCTGAGGGCTTGCTAACCAGCCGGTCTAGCTGAAATAGCAAGCACAAGCTTCATCAAGAGACCCTGTTTCAAAAAACAGCAATAGAAATCGGGCTTTGGCCTCTTTGGCCTCTACTTAAACGTGCATAGAAGAATATGTACATGTACTTTTACACACACACACACACACACACACACACACACACACACGGCGAGAGAGAGAGAGAGAGAGAGAGAGAGAGAGAGAGAGAATAATATGAACTAGTGGCTAAGAATCCACCAGCATGTATAAGTCATTGTCCCTGATACCCCCTTTTCCAGATCCAGACCCAAACTGCCCATCTCCTGTGCCCTGGGCCAGAACACAGCTCCTTCCATGCAGCCAGAGCTATCCTAGCATGATGTAGGCTGGTGCCACTTTATAGCAGCAGGGGCTTCTCTGGCAGTGCTTGAAAAGTGAAAGCCAGGTCCCTGAGCCCTGCTCTGCCAAACCCATGTTCTAGCCAAAGGCCTCATGTTCCACATCTCATGGGAGCTGTGTGGTCAAACATTGTACTTGGTCCTCAATTATTTTGCAAATAAAAGCTGTGTGTGTGTGTGTGTGTGTGTGTGTGTGTGTGTGTGTAAAATGTAGCCGCCACCTTCCATCTTATTTTATTCCATTAGAACTGACTTCATCTCCCCCGGCCCAGCTTCCTGATTGGTGCCTGGAACTGTGTCAATTTCATTTTCTCTCTCTTGGTGGCTTTTACTCGGTCTGGCCACTAAGCAAGCATCTCCTTCACCCATCTACCCTCTTTCTTCCGTCTCCAGGCTCAGAGCCCAGAAAACAGGAACTCCAAACACTCCTGTAGCCTAGGATATATAATTCTCTGTGTGCCTCCTCCTTCCCATGTATTAGATTATGGGTTAGAGAGAAGGGGAAAGGTGGAGGCTTGAAGAACCAGATTATTCTCGATGATTAAATGTATTTATATCTAGGCAGACATTCCCTCCTTGGTAAGGAGGGTACAGTATTTCAATTCTGGGCTATTGAGCATTTTGTGTTTTCTGTCTACCCTGGTAAAAGATTCTTAGAGTCAAATAAGTGTGGCCATGACAGATGAGATGGCTCAGCATATAAAGATGGTTGCAAAGCAAGCCTAGAGACCTGAGTTCAAGCCCTGGAACCCACACAATGGAAGGAGAGACCCAACTCTCCCAAATAGTTCTCTGCACACACGTGTGTGTGTGTGTGTGTGTGTGTGTGTGTGTGTGCACACACACACACACACACACACACACACACACATACACACAGAGAGAGCCACATACACCAAGTACATGAATGAATGATTGAACGAATGAATAGATAAATAACAAATAAACATAATTTTAAATTTTTGTAAGTATTAAGTGTGGTGGTGCATTCTTTTTATCCCAGAATTTATGAGGCAGAGGCAGGCAGATCTCCCTGAGTTCCAGACTAGCCTGGCTTATATAGTGAAATTGTATCTCAAAACTAAATAATTAAATAACATGCCAGAGAGATGGTGTGATGGTAAGAGCTCTGGATGCTCTTCCAGAGAATCTGGGTTGTATTCCCAGCACCCACATGGCAGTTCCCAACCATCTGTATTCCATTTCCAGGGGATCTCAGTCCTCTGGCGTTGACAGCACCACGTGCCCATATGATTCACAGGCATAAGCACATGCAAAATTCTCACACACATAAAGTAAAAGTTTCAAAATGAATTAGTAAATTGACTTAAATAGAAAGTATAAGCAGACCTCAGGCTCCAGGCATCCTCAATACCCCACTAGCTACCAGGTCCCTGTGGCAGTCCTGTCTGCCCAGAGGTTCCACACAAATGCCGAGGATTTGAGGTGTTGCCTTTATATGGCTTTTCAGAAGAAGGGATGTGAGAGAGAAGAAGAGGAGGCAAGGACTAGATACACAGTCAGGGTAAAGCATGAGATACATAATAGGCCTGGGTTAAGGTTGTAGCTCAGTGGGTAGCATGTTTGTCTAGCATGCACCAGGTCTTCAGTACAAAATAAAGTGGCTGTAGTGGTATATGCCTAGAATCACAGGACATGGGAAGTAAAGGCAGTCAGATAAGGAGTTCATGGTTATCCTTGACTATATAGTGAGTTGGAGGCCAGCCTGGGCTACATGAGATCCTGTCTTTAAAGAAATACAGAACATTAAACACATTTTATGCTT